TCTCTGTGCGGATTGTATATCCAATTATTTAATAAATGACATTTTTCATTGAACTAATAACAATTTTAATAATTGTACAGAGTTTTAAATGCTAATTGATATAAGAATAGAAAGACAAAAAATGATGATAAGTTAAAATAATAAAACAATAAAATGAAACTTTAAATCTCTATGCGGATTGTATATCCAATTATTTAATATATAACATTTTTGATTGAATTCATATAATTTCTATTTCAATTTTGTTCTATATATTTAACATAACAATATATAAATGTAATAATATATATATACATCGTGTGCAATTTTTATTTAATCGAAAAAAATCTTCCTTACAAAATACGACGGTGCATTCTCCAGGCCACAGTTATTATGTAAGTTTATACGAGCGTTTGTTGAAAAAAAAAAAAACGAAAAAAATAATGATAGAACAGGATAAATAAAGGATGAGACGGATGTCTCAGGCTCGTTTCTAAAATCCAGCTCGTCACCTTCTTCAATCTACACAAAAAGTGTATACTAAATAATTTCATTTGCTAAAAGCGACAAAATCCTTCTCCCCAAATGTGTACGCGTTTTATTGTTTCATATTTCTTCTTCGTATCGGTTGATTCAGGCACATACATACATCACGGTTTGCGTGATTAATAATAATAATAATAATAATAATAATAATAATAATAATAATAATAATAATAATAATAATAATAATACAAATATATATATATATATAAACTAAACGGTACAAAATGAAAAAAAAAAATATTTGTCAAACGAGAATGCAACGAATGATATTATTAAACATTTGTACAAATCGGACGATAGACATTTTGAACGTTTCAAATAAGAAATTCATTTGTAAAATTATTGATTATATACATTATCATATTTTAAACAAATCGTTACGCGTTAAAAAAAAAAAACAAATAAGACAATCAATTCATTTTGTCGTATATTATTATTTAATCGACGTTAATATTATATTTATGCACATTAGGTTTGGTTAAAATAATTTGAAGAAAATTGTACTCTTTACTAGTCGCAAAAATGATTTTACTTTTAATAACGGGTTGTTATAATCACGGCAGAACAAAAAAAAGAAAAAAAAGAAAAAAGAACAGTCCACGTGTTTTTTCTCTCGTTTTCGTTATATCATTTCGAAAAATTAACGATGTTTCTTTCAGAATCTTTAAACAGTTCTATCCTATTTTCAAAAGGGCGATAAACGTTCCTTATTTTTGATCATTAGTATATGCAAATCTTTCTGGTATCTCGTATATTTCGACGAACGCGTTAAAATCTCTTTAACTTTTAATGATAATCATCAACCTTGTTTTAATCATACGGTTTAAACGTTTTATGATACCATGAAACGTTATGCAAAATGTCTGTATTCCTTTTTGGCATGTGCTTGCTTTCAAATTTTCGATGCATTCTCGTCACGTTTAAAGTTCTTGTCGGATACTTTCCTACTCGTTATATTTTTCTTTTCTTTCCTTTTCTTTTCGTTTCGTTTCATTTTATATCGCAGTTCGTATAAAGCATTTCGTATCTATCTATATATATATGTTCGTGTGTGTGTGTGTAGATAGATATGAAATTACACGTAGGATAGACACATCACACACATACATATACAATATCCTACACGTTGTAGGTATATATATATTAGGGTGAATCAAAACAAAACTTTTATTTTTTTGTTGGATCTGACACACAAAAACTTGTTGCTAGGCACCTTTAGAAAGTACTCACCCAGTATGGGCTCTTAATTTCAATAGGAAGATCCTCCTCATCGCGGTTTTTTATTTTTTTCTCAGTCCAACAGAAAAAAATTCATATCTCCTCATTAATTGATTATACAAAAAAATGTTTTAATCAAATTTTGTAGGAAATTCAATGTTCTACAAAAAAGGTATCTTATGTTTTTTTCGTAAACCTCACTATTTAAAAKATATTGAAGATTTTAGTTTGATTATTTTAAGACAAATTTCATTTTTGTTTATGAATTTTGTTACTGACTGAGTAATAATTATTATCAAATCTTCAATATCTTTTAAATAGTGAGGTTTACGTAAAAAACATAAGATACCTTTTTTGTAGAACATTGAATTTCYTACAAAATTTGATTAAAACATTTTTTTGTATAATCAATTAATGAGGAAATATGAATTTTTTTCTATTGGACTGAGAAAAAAATAAAAAACCGCGATGAGGAGGATCTTCCTATTGAAATTAAGAGCCCATACTGGGTGAGTACTTTCTAAAGGTGCCTAGCAACAAGTTTTTGTGTGTCAGATCCAAAAAAAAAATAAAAGTTTTTTTTTGATTCACCCTAATATATATATATATATATATATATATTTAAATAAATAACTCAATTTTTGTTGATTCCTATTCAAATTAAAAACTAACTTTTGTTCGTAAGATTTATTTTCTTTAAATATATTTGTGATGAGATGTAAGTTCGTCATTTAGTATTAATAATAAAACGATTATTCAATGAAATTGGATGAAAAATAATGTGATCAATCTAAGGGTAATGTTTTTCTAACAGTGAACATGCATACTTCTTGTCGTTGTTGTTGTTGTTGTTATTGTTATTGTTGTCGTCGTCCTTGCACATACATACGTTCAATACTAATCTACGATGGATAGAAGACAATGGGGTGTAGAGGCAAACAATCTACGGTGTTTACTAGTTTCTTATTTCAAGTAATAACCATATCAATCAATCTACTTATACTAAAAACATCGATCATGCGTGTTTATATTTTACATATAACTTGATGCTCTTTGTAAGCTTCGGAATAGGTCGGTGCAGAGATTAAGTAAAAATTAAAAGAAGAAGAAGAAGAAGAAAAAAGAACAAAAATAGAAAAAAAAAGAAAGAGAAAAATATTTAAAGTAGTATGTACATTTTTTAACGAAATAGGGTAAATAAAGAAGCTTTCCCACCCACCCTGCTCCTCCCAACTCCCACCCACCTCACCCACAATTTTTTTTTTTATATATTACAAAATATTCAATAATTTCAATCGATGAAAATTCACGATTTATATAAAACCAAATATTCTTTATAAACTCATTCAATTCGGTTATTCGTCTCGCGAAAATTTTTCAAAGTTTCTTTTCGCGAATGGCATTGCGAATTGGTGGTGGTGGGGGGGGAGGAGGGGAGCTTTATATAAAATAGAAACATTTCCAAGAAATCAGAAGTATTCGGTGAATAAAAAAAAAAGCCTCGTACTAGAGATCAACGGGAAGAATCGACGATTCATGACACTTTTATCGCTCGTAAAATGAATATAAAGAGAGAGAGAGAGAGAGAGAGAGAGAGAAAGAGAGGAGGGCTTTTGTAGAAGACAAATTGTAAAAAGCAAACGAACCGAGGAACGGTATAAAACACACACGAGTGCCTATAAAACTCTTATATGGAACATTATTTTACATAAAGTCAATATAAAATAAACCGTCTAGAATAAAACAATATTATTATTATTAATATTATTATTATTATTATTAAAAAATAATAATTGTGTCTTTTGTTGTGAATCGAAATATGATATAGAAAAAAAGAACAAGAAAAAGAAGAAAATAAAAAGGAAAAATATTCTTTATCAATCTCTACGAAATATTTAATAATTTCTCATATAGTTCGCGTGGTTTGTGTTTTTTTAATATAAATATAAATATAAATATAATATATTATAAACACATTCGTCGGCGAGATGTTAATGTCGAAAATTTAGACGAAGTTACGCAAGATAAACCCAATCCTCCCCTCATTTCCCATTCAATTACCATAAATATTGTTCGGGGTTTTGATATTATTTATACGACGTTAACGTATCTATAATTTCGTATAAACGATATCACACACGTAGGTGATGATATACGGAGATTATTATTCCATGGGAATATACATATGAATCTCTTAGGATAATATAACTTTGAATATTTACAATAAACGAAATATATAGAAAAAATAGCACGGAAAACGATACATAACACGTGGGTTACTTTATTCGATAATAAAACTAAAGGAGAATGAAGTTAACAAATTTGTTTAATTAAAAATTTATATCGTGTTTTAGAAAGAGTGACGATATTTATTAACATGCATATATAAAATAAAATAAAATAAAATAAAATAAAAAAGAAGGAAAAGAAAGGATTACGAAGGATAAAAGAAAATGGGTGGTGGTGGTGGGTGGCTGCTGGAGGTGGGTTTAAAGAAAAAAAAAGAAGGTTCAACAAAAATTGGAACCAAAGGAAGTGTGTAATAGGAAAAGCAAAAAAAAGAATAATGAACAAATTTATTAAGAATAAACGTTGTTGTTGTTATTGTTGTTGTTGTTGTGCTGAAGAAAAATGGGGTTACAGGCTTGGTGGTGATAGTAGTAGTAGTAATAGTAGTAGTAGTAGTAGTAATAATAATAGTAGTACTACGATAGATTGAAATAGCAAAAAAAGCTAATGGAAAAACGGGAAGAAAATAATAGCTTTCCATTGAAAAAAAAGAGAATACTAAATTATTATATATCGAACGAGCGAGCTATAGTAACCATAGAACCCCTTCCCCCTTTTCTCCCTCGTCGAAGTGTCGCTAGTACAATTTGCTTCGATCGTCATTTTTCTTTCCTTTCATTTTTTGTTGTTGTTATTGTTGTTGTTCTTGTTTTGATCGACGAGGAAAAAATAAGGATGCAGGTTTATATTTATATCTTTTTTTTTTTTTTTATCTTTTCAGCAATTGGTTTTCTAAGTAAAGCACACACAATCATATTATAATGTGCGTTGGATATTTGCAATCGTAATTAACCGCCATTGGAATAATATTTATTTAATTATTTTCTTATTATGTTTTTGTTTTACTTATAACATACCTAAGACGATCGAATTAATTTATTTTTGTTTTAATTTTCATATATATATATGAAATATATATAATATGAATACCATCGATTTC